ATCTACAAACAGGAGTTGAAAGAGCATTTGTTCACATTTTGGAAATCTTCAAGTTACTGGATCACCCATTTTAATATTCTGCTACAAACAAATTCACTGTCTGTGAACAAGGAAAGTGCAACTAAAGTCCATGCTCTTCTGAGAAACATTTATCACTTTGTTTCTGCCATAATGTCACTGCCGTTGTCTGCTGTTCATGAACCACGTAATGAACATTTTCAAGTGTCGAAAGTGTTAAGGGCCATTAGGAAGATCTAGTTTGCTAGTCAATTTGTCACAGCCAAAGAGTGATCATGCTCTCCTCATAAACGAAAGTTATTGTGTCAGACAAGGAGGTCCATAAAGAGCTCTCTCCATGCAAAATTCTCCAGTTTTACCTCCTCATTTCTGTTTTGTTGGGTCATAAAAAGTTAAGGACTACTAAGAAATGCCACTAAAATTTGACAGTTGCTATAAAAACACATTCTTAGAGCGCTAGCTTGCTGAGGGTAGTGCTATGTGAAAGTCGCTGTCATAGCCTTGGTTATTTATGAATTTTTTTAAAAAACAATCTTTGCATTTGCGAGTGTGCTATCTGCATTTGTATACTTTCATATGTTTGTGTGAAGGTGCATGCAGAGGCTAGAAGTCATCATCTTTCTCAGTCACTCTCCACCTTAGTTTTTGAGACAGAATTGTTCACTGATCCCAGGGCTCATCAACATGGCTAGACTGGCTGGAAAGCAAGCCCCATGGATCTTCCTGTCTCCATCTCCCAGAACCTAGGATTGCAGTGACTTTTTATTTGGATTCTAGAAATTTGAACTCAGCAAACGCAGCAAGTGACTGACCAACTGAGCCATCTCCCTTGACCAAGACCATCTCTGTCATGTAAGGATTTTTCTGTTCAGATTTTTATATTAGACTTTATTAATCTCTTTGATTATAATGATATATCATTGTTTGGTATAATAAGCATCTTCTCTAATCTCCTCTAAGGACCCTCCATCTCCTTTCTCCTATAACAGAGTAAATGAAGTGTATAGTAGGTGGTGGGAAGTGCCTGATTCCCACATACACATGTGGAATTGAATGGTAAGGATCTCTGTAGGTGTGCATATTTGTAAATGCACAGAAACATTATTCAGAGGCCTTCTACTGTGTCAGAGGACCAACTTATTCCTCTAGAGTTGTTAGGAAACAGGTGTTTATGTAAAATTGACACCCTAAGAGCCAATGTTCTACTTTGTCCATCTGGGATAGAAATCTTTATAAATTCTATCTTCTGAAATAGCCAATAACAACTAGACATCCTTATGACAGTGGGACTATGTTTTGACAATCACTCAGTACTTGGAATGATCTCTGGCAGTTTTCTTTCTTGCATACTTATATTTACATTTTCTACCTTTTCTCCTTGCCATTGGGATATCTGTTGCATTTCTAATGGTGCATATTTGTGCCTGGTTATAAAGTTATCACATGCATTTACTAACTCATGTTCATAATCTAATATAGACTTGAAAAGTTCAATGGTCGTAGTCCTTAAACTATCCATTTACTAATCTCTACTTTATTGATAACAGAAAATTTGGTCAACAAATGTCCTTTGGACTGTGCTGAACTAATGTTCAGGTTCAAGTGCTGAGAGGAGCATGGTGTGATTGCCAGAAGACGTGGAGTGATGTCACACATCCTACATTGCTTGCATTGTATGACCCAAAGTAGGAAGGAATTTGAAAATATAAAGATTGCAAAAGTTTTAAAACCCTGTCATTTTATCCTTCTAATTAATGACTCAGACATCTTTCATTAACTCTCCAAACTACCCTGGTTACCACACGACACAGAGACTGGTAAGTAACACAAAATATTCCACATTTCAGGCAGATACTGTGGACCCAGGAGGCACTACTGGGCATTGCTGACCCTAGGCACCGGTGAAACCGTCACTCTCCTGTGACTCCTCTCTATCAGTTTTACATAACAAGCACACCATAGGCTGCTAAGATGACTCACTGAGCAAAGACATGCCATAGGCTGCTGAGATGAGGTGACTGAATGAGCAAAGGCACGTCATAGGCTGCTGAGATGATGACTGAATGAGTGAAGGCACGCCATAGGCTGCTGAGGTGACTCACTGAGTAAAGGCACTTGTGCCAATCCCAAGGACCCACATTCAATCTCTGGGACCCACATGGTGGAAGGAGAGAATCAACTCTTGTAAGTGGTCATCTGATCTCCACATATGTGCTGTGACAGACTGACATACACATGGGAGGGGGGATAACAAAGCATGTTGCTATCAGAATCAAATAATCAAAATCAAATGAAGAGTCCTGAAGTGTGACCCTCTAAAGATGGCTGCGGGAGTAATTTGTGCTCTAAATGTCTTACTGATATCCTAGGAGTCAAACTGGTAGCTGTGTATAGAGATGTATGCACAGATGCTGCTGGGGCTAAGCGCTAGTGTTTGGGAACTGCTAATCCAAGCACAGACCCGTCAGTAGAGCACAAGGAGACAAGTACATCCTGGCTTCAGTTGTTCAGGGCCTCATGGACCACACCCCCTCCTACAAGGCTCAGCAAGGCCATACATTATGAATGAATGGATGTCTGGTGACACTGTATGCTGGCCTTAGACACAGTGCAGTGCTTTGCATAACAATTCTCTTTCCTCTGTATACTTTTAACATTTTCTCTCTATTACTAGCTTGTAACAATTTGCTTACAATGTTCTTTGCATAGTTTCCTTCTTGGGTTTTTTTTTGTTTTTGTTTTTGTTTTTGTTTTTTTGATTTTTGTGCTTGGAGTTTCCTAACTACCTTGATATATAAATGTATGATTTTCATTCAGTATGAAAAGTGCTCACTTTATTTGACTATTCTCTGCCCCCTTCCTCGCCCTCTTCAATCAGTACACCAGCCTACTTCAGCACAGCTATGCCTACATTGTTTCTCTTCTCGGAATGTCTCATTTTCAATAGCTTCGTACACTGTCTTCAAGTCCACTGATTTTTTTCTCCTTTTGCATCATTTAGTCTGCCATTCATTCTATTCTATGTAGTTTCAATTTCAGACATTACTTTCAAGACTCCTGAGGTTTGACTCAGGTCATCTGCATATCTCCCCTTAACTTTTAGAATGCATGAAACACAGAATTTAAGTTAAAATCTTTACATTCAAAATCTTGTAGTGTCTAAGACATTTCTTTACTTTTAAATTGTCTTAAGGACATAAGAATTTCTTAAGGAACATGAAAAATGATAAAAATAGAAAAGCATGTGGACAAATACAATAATTTACTTAAAATTGTATCTTAAAATAGTCTATGTGATTTGCTGTCATGTAAATCTTCATGCCTCAGGTCAGGTTCACCCCAGAACCCACTTTCTCATGCTTATTCAGTTAGCACATTGAGGAAGGGAAGCTGGAGGGGAACTCTGTGTGTGTGTGTGTGTGAGTGCTCTTGATCTCACAGATAGACAACCACTCAATCTACTACATCTTCTACCATTTTTTGCATCTAGTACCTTGATGGTCCTGCACGCTGCAGAGTGAGGCAGTCACAATGGCCTCCGTTAAAGAGGTCATGTGACACACAAGACAGCTAGACGTTACTCAGTCTTCTCAGGCTCAGAAAAGATGGGGCCAGCCTAGGTTTGAACTGTGATTTAAATCAAAGCTTCCGAGACTATGAAAGCTTAGAGAAATGTAAGCTCTGACGGTTAGTTCAAAGGAATGGCTTCCATTATTATATCTGTCCTAGCCATGGCATGCTATGTGCTGGCCTTCTGAAGAGCATGACTCTTCTTTTAAAACTTTTCTTCCAATCTCTGCTTGAAAATAAGAGACAACTTTACTTGCAACCCAGCCCAACCTGAATTCTTTAAACACCGAGGATGTCTCATGGGTGGGAATGAAATGATCAGTTTTATTCATCCCTAAGGTCTTTAAGAGAAGAGGTGAGCTTACCCACCATCAGCAGCCTCAAGAGAACTCATTCGTGCTGGGCCCAGAGAGCTAGGATGTCATGGGTGAGAAAGAAGGAAATGCGAATGCTCAGGCTGCAGCAACAGAAAGAAAAGATCAGTGGGAGGGATAAGGCAGACACCGGAGGTATGAGCAGGAGTGTGTAGCAGCTGCACGGTGTCCTGTGCATCTCCAGCACTGAGATTCTGAATATTAAGTTTCTACATGTCAACACTAATGTGTTTTTGAAGAGAATGAATGTCAAAGGAAAAAGGCGATTGTGAACATTCCAAATTCAGGCACTGGTGTTAAATGGATGGAACATGATGGGAAAACTCAAAACTTTTTGATCTCTTCTCTTGACATTTTCCACATATATCCTCAGCTTTCTCAGGGACCATACTTTTTTATTCAGCAAGGTACATGGAACTGTTAGTAAACATACTCATGGCTGTTTTAATAAAACAAATCCTTTCTACTCCAAATGAAGGGATGACAATTTCTTATGAAAATCAATCAGGAGCAGTATAGGTTTTTAACACCTTGGAGGAAAGGGGTCTCCTTCCGGTCATTACAGTCATACACTTGCTGTTTCCTTTCTGTGGGTCTGTACTTTTAAAATGCAAGGGATTCTTAGCTTTAAGGGTCAGAAATCGGTACTATACTGTTCACATGGCTTTTGAGAAAAGATGTTTAGATTTAGCACCCTTGATGGTCAATAATAATGCTTTGAAGCATCAACATATCACAATAATTCCTGAAAGATAAGCAGGTTAGCTATCCATGTAAAAAGATAAGCATTTTAGAGTGTTTTCATTGGCTGTACTTATGTCTATTCCTTTACATTCACAATGGTCTTTAAGGACACTGGAGTACTGAAGAAAAAAAATTAAGGGCATTCTAAGTCCCACAGCTCAATATAATTGGTTTTTCTTTAATGTCTTAAAAATATTTATTAGAATTGAATTTTTTTCAAACCTATACTTGTATCATTTTTAAGGCTTGCTCATAATTCCAGATTGTTTTTGTATTGTAATGAACTAGCCATACCTTCCAGCTCCCTGCAGCCAAGTTCTGCAGGGCGCCTGCTGCCCCTTCCAGCGTGTCTGGGTTTGAGCACTCAGAGAGCAGTGTGAGGTAGGGTTTGACTATGGATGGGTGCCACAGCATCTGGATCCCTTTTGGTGGTTCTGCACAGTCTGGAAGAGGTCCTACTCCATCCCACTGGTGAAAGAAAAATGAGAGAGTAAATACCTTTAACATCTTTACGCTTCATGATACCGCCTCCCATACAAATCACTAAACACAAAACAGGCATGACAGCGCTCGGTGAAAATCAGTGAAGCAGAGAGGGTCAGCAGTCTAGGGACCACAGAAAAACTGGAGAGCTATTTTTGAGACAGAACTTTTGATCAAGGGTGGACGGGGTTGGAGCATGCTCACAAGTGATTGTACCTAGCATTTGAAGGGGGTCTGCTCTTGGAAGCAGTCCAACATAACTGAGAGAGCAAGGGAGGAAACAGATGCGAATTCTTGGAGTAGAAGAATGGCAAGATCAAAGTCACATGTTTTATCACTGGCATAGAGCAGACACTGCACAGATATTACAAGCTACCCAACCCAACACTTTCACTTATTTTGTATAAGTTGATAACTTTTGCACAACTGTGGTAAGTTTCCATATGTCTTATGCTTGATGTAGGTAACCATCGCTGTTTCTAACAAACATGTAAACATGTACAATGGAGAGCAAATTGTTACATTTAGTATATTTAGTATATACATTGACGTGAACTATATGCAAATATAGTCCTGGCTATCCTGGAGCTCACTATGTAGACCAGGGTGACCTTGAACTCCCTGGTGCTAGAATTAAAGGCATGCACCATCACCAGTTGGCAAATTTAGATCTTACAGCCACCCTGATAGTTAAATTTGTTCTCTGTTAAATATAATAAATAACAAGAGAATATGTTACTAAAAACTAACTGTATATTACTTAAAAATTGTGGCTCATATTCACAAAGAAATACTGATTCACCATTAAAAATGATAGTCATGAGCACTGTGGCTTCTTGGACAAATGGGAACAATAAAAGTTAAATGAACAAAGTAAAGGTAAGTGTGGGGGTTAATGTTTTGTTTTTGTTTTTTGTTTTTCGAGACAGGGTTTCTCCGTGTAGCTTTGCGCCTTTCCTGGAACTCACTTGGTAGCCCAGGCTGGCCTCGAACTCACAGAGATCCACCTGGCTCTGCCTCCCGAGTGCTGGGATTAAAGGCGTGCGCCACCACTGCCCAGCTGGGGGTTAATGTTTTATCCCAAGCAAATGCATTATAAAAGCCCATAATAATCACAAGAAAGCTTTGATAAAATGATTCAATTCTATTTTTTGCATATCAAATCTTTTATCATTCTTACTCTTAAAAATAACATTAAAATAATGATACTCATCTTTAATCACATAAAGCTTATCTTCTTACTAAAGGCAGGGAATATAGGTCAAAATAAGATATATTATTAAAAAAATACAATTAATCCTGAGATAACTTATAGACAAAGCAATTCCTTTCAAATTTGGAGTAGAAGCTAAGCTATTTAGCTTATGTGTACCTTAATAAGTACACCAAAATAAACACAGTTGATATATATTTAGTGTTCTTGTATATATTTTATATACATACATATATGTGTATATAGTATTATATTTCAGAATAAGTTCATTAAGTGTTTAAGTTTTCATCAGTGGAAGATGCAGGTTTGCCTTGTATCCTTGCTGCATAAAAACGGAAATGTTGTGAGAGGGACTTTAAAGTTATTTAACTGCCCACAATAGTTTCAAGAATGTCATTATTTGCCAAGATAAAGCAGTCCTGTCTTGTCTCCCTCAGTTATGTTGTAGCTTGGTTTAAGTCAAGGCTGCGGCTTAGCAATGAATGACATCCCACAGATGGATGGCGGCTAAGCCATAAAAGGTCATTCCTAATTAGTGTGACACCCAATTTCAACTTTATAATCAGGGCACTTTTGGCTTCTTGTTCTTTTCATCAAAATATCATCTTGACTACTTCAGGACGCCTCTGCGTCTGTGAACAGCCACCCACAGAAGGCAAAGTCTGTGCCTTTTAAAAATTACGAGGAAAGCAACCTAGCCCTGCCACACTGATCCTGGCTTGTTATCTGAAACTAGCTTGTTGTAATGAAGAGACAGACAGCACCCGGGAAAGAACAGTCATTTTGTAGCTGGGTCTGCTCCAATGATGAGCAAGAACCCAGTCTGGCAGAGCGCATCTATCTGCGAGTACAAGACATAGACAAAGATTTCATTTGTCTTTTGTTTGTTTGATTTTCTAGTCTGTCATCTCTTAGAACATTTCAAGTTATCCTTTTCACATAAAAGTCTAATAGTAGTCACAGAAATCAGAACATAAGATTTCAGCTGAGCCTGGACTAGCTTTGCCTCTGTCAGAACTAACAGGACAGCCACACACATATGGAAGGAAGATATGTTGGAATGCTTGCTATGGAGTGTGGCAGCTGATATGTATGCGGACGACAGCTGCATTCTCTTTGGCTGGGATTCATCTTGTTCTCCTTTTCCTAACTTCGACTCTATAAAGCAGGACAAATGATTAGATCACTAGGCAATTTTCCTCTGCTCTGACATGTCATCTCTGCAAGCCTTAAATACCTTTTATTACAATCATTTCTTAACAGCTTCAGAGGGAATCTGAGGGAATGAAAGAACAACTGATGTGAATGTGGATAATCTTTGATGGTGACCAGGGGCTGGAGTTCAAAGGGGAATCTTTGCTATTTCAGAAAGTTGATGAAACCCACACATGTTAATACTAAAGAAAAAGAACCATTTCAAAGCTAGTCAATGTAACTGACCTTTATCTGGGCACTTTCTCCAAACTTTTATTGAGTTAATCAAAGGGAAAGCATCAATTTTCCATTAAAAAACAGTTGGAAGCATTCTTTAAGGACTGTGTCAATTTGCCCAACCTGGTTGAGCCAGCTAATCGACATCAACAGCGTATAGGTCAATGGTGGTGTGGATTTAATGGGTGCAGGATGCAGGTGAAACTATCCTATATGGAGTAACAGTTTAGTTTTTATTTTCTTTAGAATTTCATACATGAGCACTGTATTTACATCATTTCTACATCTTTTCCCTCTCCAACTCCTCCCATGTCCCCCCAATTCCCTCTCAAACTCATGACCTTTTTCTTCTTCAATTAATATTGTTGAGTATCTATGAATGAATACATGCCGTTGAGTCCATTTAGTATTGCTCATATGTGTATGTGTTTAGGGATGACTGCTTGGAATTAAATAACTAATCAGGGGACTTGTCCTGGGAGAAGACTGATCTTTTCTCTCTCTCAACAGCCATTAATGGCCTGGAGCTCTTCATCCAGGGGTGAGGTCTTGAGAGACGCCTTCCATCCATGTCAACTGGTGCTGGTCTTGTTTAGTTGACAATTTTCGAGATTTTATAGGTATAGCATCCCTGTAGTATACAGCTGACAGTATCCCCCAGCAGATGCTCTAGTCTTCTGGTTCTTACAATCTTTCTGTACCATTTTCTACAGTATTTCCTGAACCTTAGGTGTAGAAGTGTGCTGTGTTTGTATCCAGTGGATTTGGGTACCCACAGTCACTTGTTCTCTGTATTTCGACAAGTTGTGGATTTCTGCAATGGTTTCTATCTGCCGAAAAAAAAGAGCTTCCTTTTTTGATAATGGGTGAGATCTACATTTATCTCTGGGTATAAAAAGTGTTCAGAGTGAAGTTAGAAATTAAACTGATTAGGAAAGAGACAGTAATAGGCTTTCGTTCAGGGCCCGTCACCTCACCAGCCATGGGTAGTTGGGTAGGTTTACAGGACTAGGTGTGCATTTCCTCCCATTGAACAGGTTGTAAGTCCAATTAGACAATTGTTGGTGACTTGTAAGATATAAGTGCCACTACTGTACCCTCATGGTCATCTTGCCATGCTGCTCATTGTTGTGGTTCACATCCTTTACAGCTGGGTAGGTCTACTGATTTGCTTTTGGCTTTAGATACTATGAGAGTCAGTCCACAGAAAGGAGCCTTTTGGGTCAGTTCCACTAACTTCTCCAAGTCCTGTGTCCAAAGTGTATAGTGTCTTCAGTAACGGGGGGGGGGGGGGGGGGGGTGTTCATATCTCTACATATAAACAGCAAATGCTGACAGGTAGGTGGAGGAAGGGGGAACCATCATTTATTGTTGTGATTACAAACTGGATCAGGCATTATGGAAATCAGTTTGGAAAATTCTTATGAAGCTAAAAATAGACCATATGGTGATATACAGTAGTAATAAAAATTTTTCAGATATTAGTACTGTATGGACATCATTTCTCTCCTCTACTTCCTCCTTCCAATAGCCTTTCTGACTGGAGTAAGATGAAATCTCAAAGTAGTTATAATTTATATTTCTCCAATTGCTAAGGATGCTGAACACTTTTAAAGATATTTCTTACCCATTTTTATTCCTTCTTTTGTGAATTCTTTGTTCAGATCTATATCCCAAGCTTTAAAATTCAGTTGTTTGTTTTCTTGATTTTGTTTTTCATTTGTTGATTCAGGGTATCAATCCCCCATCACATGCAGAGTTATGAGAATTTTCTCCCACTCTGTAGGTTTCTTCTCCACTTGGCAGAGTGCTTTCTTTGCCGTATGGAAGTTTTATGAGGTCCCATTTGTTAATCATTGGCTTTAATTCCTGAACAAATGGAATTCTATTTCTTATGCCTATATTGTGTAGGGTACTGCTTATGTTTCTTCTAGCACTTGCACGTATATCATAAAGATCTTTGATATATTTGGAATTGATCTTTGTGTAGGGTGACAGATATGGGTCTTAATTTCATTCTTATGCATGTGGACCTCCAGTTTTCTCAGCATCCATTTGATGAAGATGCTGTCTTTTTCATCAGTGTGTATTCATTTTTAGCATCTTTGTCAAATATCAGATAGCTGCAAATATGCACATTTATGTTTGGGTTTTCTGTTTTTTCTATTGGTCTACCTGTGTGTTTTTGTACCAGTACCGTGCGATTTTTATCACCACGGCTCTGCAGTGTGTCATGGAATCTAGAATGGTGACCCATCTGCATTGTTCTTTCTGCTCAGGACCACTATGACTATCTGGGGTCTTTTGTGGTTCCAGATGAATTTTAGGAGTAAAAAAAATT